TTTTTTACATCGTTAAAATAAAATTCATATTTATTCAGGTGAGTAAGCAAAAAATATTCGGTACAAGGCATTTTTATATTTTCGATATTATTCGTTTTATCTACACATTTAATTTCTTCTGAAACATCGCATTCTTCTTCAAAGTCTTTTAAAATAAAAAACGTCTGCGTGTGTTTTGGTTGCGGTAAGGTTTCAACTTTTAAGAAGAAATTTGTTCCTTCTAATTCAACGATTTCTTTGTTAGGGCCGGGAAAATTTAATCGTTTAGGCATTTTTAATTTTTATTGTTAAAAAATAGCATTTTATAAATCCTGTATTTATAAGTAATTTTATTCTATTCAATTCTAAAAAAGACACGAATATGAAAAAAAACAAAATAAAACTATTTTCCGATATATATATCTATATAAATCAAATTAGAAAACAATCTTAAATAAAACTTAAAAAAAAGTTATCTTCAATTATTACATGAATCAAGTTGTTAATCTTGTTTGATAAAATACAAATGATAATCGTAGATAAAATTTAAGTTTTTGTGTAAATTAATATTTATAAATTTGAAATCCTCTATTTACTTTAGTTGTCGCACCACAGATACGGTATCCATAATATATAAAAACATATTTATATTGATTATTAATCATAAAATATTCGGTGTCTGGCATTTTTGGATTGTTTTTTTTATTTGTTAAGTCACGACAAACAATTCCGACTGGAATAGGAATAGGAATATTTTGATTCGAAACATCCAAAAAATAGACCATAGCATAGCCAGGATTTTCTAAAGCTTGAAAATTTATTTTAAAGTTACTGTATACAAGAGAGCAACTTTCGGGAGGTAGAAAATTAATGATTTGAATAGGATACATTTCAGTAAATTATTAATCAATTTTTGTCGAGATTATTGATGTAGTGAGGAGTTTTTTTGGTTTTTATTATTAAAAATATCATTTTTAAGTGAGCATTAGACATATGAAACCATCGATGTATGGTTATTTTTTTTTTAAAAAAAGCTTTATCTTTTAATCAAGTAGATCTTAATGATTCTATTTTAGATTTTGTCGTCATCTTTTTTACATAATTGTTTCATTTGATATATTTGAAATAGTCATACATTTAAGTTTTTTGTTGATATGATTTACACATATTTATGTTGAAGAATATATCTTTATTTATACTAGTGAATATTTTTTATCTCTTCACTATCAAACTATTTTTATTTATGTGTTCAATATGTAGATAAACTCTTTGTTCTTTTTTTAATTCAGTTAAATATCTAAATTTGATAGTTTATATTTTCTAATTGCTTCAGTAAGTCTGTTCCACAAATCATCTTTATATTTACGTCTCCATAGTTTGTTTTGACATTCCAAGTTCCTTGAATTTTTAATAAACAACTTTATATCCATTTCGATTTCTAGTTTTTTCATCATGTTTTAATTTAAAATCTATAGCTTGCTGTTTTGCTTGTTCACTAGTTCTTGTTTTTGTAATTCCAAATATTTTTGTTTTATATTTATTATCTTCTCTATATATGAATAACCAACTATTTTTACAAAAAAATACACTGTTATAACCTATAGTATTTGAAATTCATAATTTTCTATTTAATGCATTT